ATTTAATAAATGGGTTTAAAACAGATTTAGCTGATAACACTGAGACATAATGTTTAGCACTACTGCTGTGATGTAGAGGTGAAGAAACCAAAAATGAAGAGAAAGGTGTGAAAAAGGGGGATAAAATGCCAATAAACCTAAAAATCAATCTGGGGGAAATTGAACTTACCACAATTGCCACTGGTGAGATCCACATAAAACAAGGAAGACCTTGAAAGAAAGTGCACACACACTGAGATTACTGTCATGGCGACAGTCAGGGGAACATGTTACTATAAGGGGAGTAGCACACTGTGGTCATACCTTCTGTTTGGGCAGTATTTTAGGCCCAGGCGGAAAGGTTCGTGCAACCAGCCCACAAAAACTACACCCGTGTCATTAGGTGCCCAGAATGCCTGCAGGCAAACAAACAAGCCAGGGTATTTAGGTGTTCTTCGTGACAGACTACCCTAGGGATACACCCACACAGAATGCCAAAAGCCCAGCAGGAGAGCTAATATGTCAATAATCATGAGTAACATGAATGACATGCTCAAAATGGAGAAAATTAACAAAATGAGAAAGTAACTAAGATCTTTTCTTGCAAAGCCGCATAGTATTGTAGTTACACATCCAACTCTTTTTCACCGGGCGTACCCTGCCTTGCTGCCTGAAACAGGCTCAATGCTCACTCTGACGCTACAATATTTAAGTGCTTCTAAAAGAGTGGATGGATGGGTGGGTAGGTGTCATTATTTATAATGTGCAGACACAAAATAATAAAGCTGGAATATCAGTGGAAACTGTTTACTGTGTTCTAGAAGCTTAACATGCAAGTTGAGGGGGGGGGTATTTTACAGAAAATCCACTAAGCCTGCATAAAATACACTGATGAAATCTCAAACCAGCACATGGCGTGGAAGCAAAGCATGCTGGGAAAGAGGACAAACGGGAAGCCAGACCTGGCCAGGAGAGATGTGATCAGGGATTCCCTCCAAGACAGAGACATTGTTTCCCTCAATGTCCAAAATGCACAGCACCGGCACACTCTTATTCACCAGAGTCTCTCCCCAGTCCTCGTAATAAACAAACTCGTCCCCCTTTAAGTACACAGGAAGAGAAGACAAACATATTTCATTCTATAAGAAGCACTGTTACATTTAATTAATTTATCCACAAAAAACAATGTTTTAACTACATCCTGAGTGCAATCTTAGATATGACTCAGTGCAGGAAAAACGAACAATAACAAGGATCAACATAATAAATATAATCATCAATACAAACTAAAAGTAAAAATGTCTCACTACCTTTATAGACTCTTCTTTCTCTCCCACTTTCAGACTGTCTTCTTCATCTCCCAGGGAACATGATTCAGGTGATTTAGTCTGTAAGAGAGTCGGTGAGGGGGAGGACATTTCTTTACGACATTTTAAATAAAGAAATTGACTGTGTCTACACTAAGTTCAAGTCTTTCGTTCCAAACCTTTTAGGCATGTCACAATAACTACATGTATCACAACTACCAGACAACATGAAACAAAATCTACCACAATCAAACAATTGTGATTAACCAGGAAACTTCAAAAACCTCAAAAAATGACTCCGTCTTTGGTCTTTTCTTTTCGGCCACATACAGAAGATGTGTTTCAGAGTGGGACCAGACCAAGCTTCCAAACTGATCTGTACAAAAGTTTAAGACCCAAAATGAACATACATAGCTTTGAGATTTCTCGTAGGCTTCACATATAAGACAGAGTTAGCTGTACCATCCTCGTAGACTTTGCCGTGTTTCTTCAGAGCAGTCAGATTAATGCTCTTGACTTTGCTATTCTTGGTCCACACCTGAAAAAGAAGAAAAAAACAGCAGCAAGTCATTTTTAGAGAGACAACCTAATATTAAGAGGTACAAAGTTCAAGTTCAGAAAGTACAAATCCAAAACCAAGATTTTGTTTAGTATTAAGAGTCACATTTACAGGGTATTCAACTGCCAGGTTTATACAAAATCTTGCTCTGGGCTTATACTTTCTGGACCTGAACTGTTCACCTCTGCTAATATTCTTGAAACTAACATTAAATGAAAGAGCAGAGAGCAGTAGTATAATTTACCTCCAGAAACTGTTTCTCTTCTCCTTTGATGATGCACTCCCTGACCACTGCTTTCATGTCACCAGAAGGTGAGTCTTTGCTCAGGAGCCTAGTCAGACAATATAACTGTGATTTAACAAATTATCCAATAAAGCAATAAAGTGCACATTTTGTGTTTGGTTTTTTGGGTGTTTATGAAAAAGTGGAATGGTTGTAAGTGTTTATGGTAATCATTTATTTTATGAACAAGGATTATATTTAGACCAGACAATTTCCCGCTACATACACTCCCTTTATCTCTGTGCAGTTTCCTGATGGACCTGAATACACAATGGATTTGTCATCATGGAAGATGATGTATTGTCGGCAGAACTTGACTTTTTCATTCCTTTCAAAATCAGGTTGACTCCATTCTGCATAGAAAAAATGTTGAGAGTGCAGTCAAGTCAATTTATATTTAATTATTAGCTATGTTTCATGTACATGTAACATTTCATAGACATCTGAACATGATATATGTATTCATTGAAATACCCGGGGGAAACGGAAGTACCAAGACAACCCCAGGACAACAGGGCAACTCTACACACATAGAGCCCTGAAAGAGACTCAAACCCTAGTCTCAGAGGTGTGATGCAACAGTGATAACCACTGCGCCACCGTGCGGCCTCGACATTAAATCTACTGTATAAGTAAAATAAAAAGGATTATCAAAAAAAAAAAAAAAAAAAAAAAAACACTGAAAGCACACCATTCAGACAGATGTGGAAATGCCCATTATTATTACGTTACCTGTATAGATATTGCAGTATTTTCCTCCGTACTGCGATGTGATCACTGGCCCGATTTCAGCTGTGGCCAACGAGGGAAATAGACTATGCTCTCGGTAGAGCTTGGCGATCTCGTCTGGACTGGTAACGACCTTGTTACACAGACGAGACAAACTTGAATGTTGGGTTACAGACAAATGCATCAGAGGCCTGCAGCACCGCCGATAAGAGATGTTCATTTTGCGGGGTATAACTTAATTTAACTTTACTTATTTAGCAGACGCTTTTGTCCAAAGCGAGAGTTAATATAACCTCATAACAGCATTCATTGAGCTGGGTTACGACCCGGACACAAGGATTTCCAATAAGAACTTAAGAAGGGGGATGCTGTGGGCTTAAGAATGGTGACTAAAAAGTTAATAAGATCTTAAGACCATAGCTAGATAACTAACTGAATGCGGTGCCTGCAGTCCACAGACAGCCACCCGGAAGAATTAACCAGCTAGACCGGCACCGCCCGGGTATTGTCACAAACCTGTTCTGACCGAGTAATTAAAATACACCTTACTATCGTATTTAGTAAGTTCAGAGAAGCCACTTAATATTAAATGTAGTTATTTCCTATATATGAAGGAACGCTAATTAGCTATCAGTAGTTAACGTGGACAAATTCAAACTCCATTTACTGTACTGCTTGTCTGCAGTGCCTTCAGCACAGTGTTGAAGAATTCCAAAATTATTTTTGCTTCTTTCACCTTCATGGTCCATTATAAGTAATTTATAAGTAATTTTCTAAATTATTTAACAGCCACTTATCTAAAGTTACATGCCGAGATTTGCTAACTAAATAGCAAAAACCCAAGAACTTGGTAACTAGGACGTGTGTTAATGCATAATTGACTGGAATACACGATCAGCAGCATAGCCTTCAGAAGTCACTAAAAAGGTAAAAGAGGGAATAAATGCAGCGATATGCGTCCTCCGCTCCCACTCGTACGAATACAACACACACGCGTAAAGAACGGCTACGGCCGGGCTAGCGCCCAGATTCTCTCACAACTACAACAACCATAAACTGTATATTTTAACAGACCACCTCAACGGCACTAAATATTATATTATTTTTCTAATAAACACCTACAAATCCAGCATTTACGTATAAATTTATGAAGACGGCCATTGTACAGAAACTATAAATGACAATAAAATATCTCCAAACCTGAGACTCCATACTGCCGTCAGACGCAGCGCGAGAATGAGCCGTACCACCTTCATAAATCAAGGGGATTCATATACAAATTTATGAAATCTAGTTCACATTTATTTCAGTGAAATATCACGTATAAATATAGACTATACAAATATCATAAATAATATTACGCCCTGTGTAAGACTTTGGGGTAAAAAACCACAACAGTTATTTTTGTGGATCTAATGGTACATCCCAGGGCGTTTGCGCGTGACTGTCGGAGTAGTACGATCTCTGGGTAACACGCCTTGTCTGTACGTACAACTACAGTTCAGTGTTAAAACCTGCGGGTTGTCTTCTTACCTGTATGAAAAGAGATATTAACAGTAAACTTGGTATAATCAGCTGGTTGTTTATTTTAGTTTTTAAGCACAACTTAAAATCTAAACATGATAGAACAGGGGGTGCAGCTATATGGATCTGTCTTTATTTGAAACTGAAAAAAATCGAGTTTAATCTAAAATAGAAATGCTTTCTACATGGACTCTCTGGAGTTCTGACTTTGACGTTCCTCATTTCCAGACGTCAGTGACAAAGCTGTGTATATGTAGATATTTCACTGTGTTTTATTACAAATTGAGGGTTATGTGCAAACTGTACAGCAAAATTCATATATAACTTAATAATGTTCTATACATTAAGTTCTGTACATGGTATGTTCAGTATAGAATAAAGTTTAATGAAAGTAATCATGCATTAGAATTAGGAGATATCGTTGCTGGGGGTCTCCAAGAGTTAATTGTGACGATTTTCTTCAGGGACTGAAGTTTTGAATGTCAAGCAAGCTAAAGTGTCACTATCATTTCAAGTCGTCTGTGTAGTGATGTCACTGCAACATTGAAATCAACAACTGGACAAGACAGTCTAACGTTTGGTCTAGCTGTTTAAGAAAAAAAAGTCTGTGAGCACAACATCAACATATTTTTCTTTATTTTTTCCTGGATGGAAATGACTCATCAGGTCTTTTTTCAGTTATCACATTACATGACATGATGCACCAAGTTTACTACAACTGTTTACAGGAATACACTGACACATACACAAGGTTTTACAATGGATACATGGAGTTTAGCTCATTGCACTTACAACAGTGAATGTAACTTTTTAAAACAAAATTATTTTTTCATCTTGTTTTTCAATTATTATAATTTATTTTTACATATCCACATCCACCTCCACCCATTTCAGAAATTACATGGAAGCCAAGGTAACGTTATGAAGGTTTTCATATTACAAACACAACATGTATAGAAACTCTACAGAGACCAATATGTTTCTGGTTACAACTTGTTATCAACAGTCCATACGAGCCAGCCACATTCACAATGCTTTTTGATTTGTATGTTTCTTTTGTACACAAAAGCACAAACTGGCAGGTTGGCCAGTGTGGGACATGAGACACCCCATGCCAGCGATCGTTTTACTCATGAGATTTACACATTGTACAGAATTCTTTATAGTTCATAGTATTTGATATTTACAGTGAAGATGGTTGCTTGTCATTCTCAATAAAGGGCTAAAGAGCTGGCGGCTGCTTCTGGTCATGCACTTGTTATTACGTAGATCAGTTATGGTTCCCTGGCTGTTGTCTTTATAGGTGGTGGTATTTGTAGCAATCTGAAGCACTGGGTCCCCCTTTCCTAATTATCTGGCCTTTCACTCTCTGTCTCGATATACACAAAGACCCCACATATACACCAGCAAATGAAGTCATCACAGTTCTAACAGTTAGTATGCTAATTAAATGCACATTTTTGGTTGGCATAAAAGACACATTGCCTGTTTTGGCAAACATTGTCATCAGAAATCCATACAATCCAAAGTAGGACTGTAAGGTAATCTATCTAGATGGCTTTCTTGAATGACCGGTTTGTAATAAGCCCTTACTTTTATGCATAAAATCCCCTCAAATGTGCTTTCCTGAGACAAAATAGCAATAAGATTATAAACTTCTGCAGACAAAATATTGACTTCTTTTACTGATAATTAAGATAATATAACCTTTTCTAACTCTCATTCACCATCTGAATGAAGAATTATTATTATGTATCTAGTGAGCCAGCTGAAATTATATCAACGGCAGATATCAGTAAGTTTCTCAGTCTGTTGCACATTGACTGAAGGTGTTGAAAACCTCTCATAATATATTAATCAAATGAGGTGTAAAAGATGAAGTTTCACACACTCAGAGGGAAAATGTGCCACCAATGAACAAAATATAGATGTAATTTCTGTTTATATATTCCATAACAATAGTACTATACCATATATATATACTTCATTAAAATTTACTTTTAAATTATATACTCATATATTACTTTTTAGATACCTCCTAAATATATAAATTATATACAAACACGCAGACATTTATACATATTTGCACACATATGTTTCCCCCAACTTCACACATGAGGTGAAGGTATCAGTGTAATTTTGTGCATGTAACAGAGTAATTTATGGTAAATTGTATTATCTCCATCACATCATAAGCCATTTCACGATATGCAAATGTGAATCCTTCTTTGTCAAACTAATTAACCATTTCATTCCTAAGGCATACATGAACAATTGCTCCTTATCCCAGTTTAAGATTGCATAGTCACATTTGCTATGACTGTCACATTAGTCAAAACAATGAGGAGTGTCCTGTTTTAGCTGTTATCATTTACTGCAAATAAATACACTGAAAATTGCAAGTAATACAGCTTAATTCTTATGGCATTCCCTGTAGTCACTAAAGGGCCAATGGTTGTGACCAAAGTGGTTGGATACCTTTTTTTTGTCCTTAGGAAAACTTTCAGTAATTGATAAAGATTCAGGTGTGGAACTGATCTTCTCTCCAACAGGCATCAAATTACTTACATACTGCAGTATCTATGTTTGCCCCTGGTCTTGCAAACCAGCCGATTGCAGGTCTGTCACAATTTATAAATACAGCTGTTATATATCTTATTTTTTTCTGTGACTAAATTGAATGAAAATTATCTAAGAATCTAGGTTATGTTAATAGAAAGGAATACAAATAACTTCGACCATGGACAATTCTCTCTTTTTAAATGAGGTCTTAATTATCTAATTTTATGCTGAGTGTATTTTTGACTAGATTATTACAAATGAACTACATTTTTCATTTGGATTGTGGATACATTTAGAATTATTTAAATATAAAATGGTGGTGTATGAAAACCAGGATGCTAAAATTATTGTATGGAAAATCATGGATACATAGATAGTAATGGAGAGCATAAAAAATGATATATGGCATATTGGATCAACTGTCTTTACTCTTAACTTATGTAACACAATAGCTAACTTATGTAACCAGAATGAAATTCAAACTCCACTTAGCAAATATGCCCTTAATAACTAAGTACATTGTTAGTTTATCAAGGTTATCATTTGAATTTCCAAATTAAACGTAAAACAGGCTTATATAGTTACAGTCTTGCAAAATTCACTTGTAGAGTACATTTATTTTGAAGGTACTGTATGTTTCACAAAAATCCTGTTACTGCTGGTACACAAATAAATATTTCATATAAACACTTATATTACTCCCCAGCTAACACAGAAATATTTATCGACTACATTAGCTTTTCTATGAGTCTCATCAACTTAAATTTATTTCAATCAGAAAACGCCCAAACAACTGTTTAGCACGCTTACAGTGGCTTCTGTTTGTTCCTTAACGATGCCTTAAATAGCTGTCCTGTATTATCGTTTCATATTTTTTGTGAATAACAAGTGCATAAACTGGCAGCCGAGTGCTACAGAGAATAGAACACCCTGCAAACACTAAAATGAACAAGGGCGTGCAAAAAGTTTTACTGTGCCTAACAACCCATGCTTTAAGCTACGAGATGAAGGACAAACATGATTCTACATAGTTAACCCTTTGCCAAAGTTATCCCACATCAAGGAATAGGGGGTCAAACATGCCACTAAAATAAAATACTTAATCCAATTATTAAATTACATACAAACAGCTAAATACAAACGACTCTACCCATTTTTATTCCTCAGCAACGCAATGCTGCTGTATTTTCAGACATAACAATGATAGTGGTATTGATTTTTTTGCCTTTATATCTTTTAATATGAATCATTGCATAGAACATTTTAAATGAAAATATTACTTCTGACCACCATTTTTACTCGTTTGTCTGCTTGTTCTGATCTGGGATGGTTGGAAGCCAACATACAGGAAACAGATAAACACGTGGGATATGACGTGTCACCAGAGCATGCTTAACTTCAGCAACTACAGAAAGACAATATATATCAAATTTAGGGTTTGAGTGGGGTCAGGCTGGGCCAGGATGTCTGTAACACTGCAACAAAACAGCAGGGGGCAAACTGACCTGAGAGGTTTTTCTGGCAACTGTCAAAATCATGACTGGCTCCAGTAGAGTTTCTGGCATCCCAGAGTTTCAGTGACTAAAGCTCATGTCTTATACTGCACCTTGTGCTATGCTCTTTGTGGAATTTCCTTCCTCGAGGAATCTAAATGATGCAATGTTGAGTTGGATTCCATGCAGTGGAAATTACCTGTTGCTATTCATTCCTTGAGTTTTTTTTAGTGCTCTTCTAACATTTGCAAGTGTTGAAACCACACAGTCTATCTGCATCGTCTGTGGAATGGCCAATGACACAGATGTAATTCATGATTATCTCATATGCATAGCACAGTGTGAGGGCCCCTTTGTAATTAACAGAATGGCCATGGTCTTCGTTTACTTATTTGGTAGTATTCGTTACAGCCTCCCACATGGTACTCTACTTGTATGTATCTATGTTTATCTATGTAACTCAAGACATGAAGGCACACTATATATGTAAAATATGCCCATAGTGTCTCATTTTCTAGTCTTTTGCTTTCATTGCCTCATGCAGAAAGGTTTTTTCCCCCATATCAGTCTTTCTTTTCTCCCTTTCCCCATTATTCTTGCATGCTTATAACTTATTTTCTAAAGAGCGATTAGCATAGACTCCCTGCATCATGAATATGGTTCAGCTGTATTCACTCCTTTCTGTTTTGTTGCAGTGAAGACTGACAGTCTTTTTGTGATGCATTAGTCCATTACAGAGATAAGAGGCAACACATTCCTGACCCCTTGTTCTGAAACAACACAAGATTGTGCTTTTAACATACTGTCTTCTGCATGCTATTGCTTTTTTTGGAAAATAAAAATTGTATTATGAATAATTATGGCAATTACGATAAGAACAACAAATAAAAAAACAATACAAAAGTGTAAAATACACACTAAACAAAATATTAATATTTAAAACTGTACTTCAGCTGGAAAAATTACATACATATATAGCATACAGTGTGTAAAGAAATTAAAAAAGGCTATACGGATAAAAAATGTGAGGTATATAAGCAAAACAAAACACTATTAAGGCTGTGTCTTTCATGATGCAAAATCAAGAAAATACATTTAAAGATGAAATATAAATAATAAAAATAAATAATATAAAACATCAAAAACCCAGCAATTCCTGGTGATTTCACAATGGCTTTGCAATTGCTCAAACGTAGCCTGGACCACATTGACTCCTGAGGGCTTCCCTAACCTCAGAGAAGTCTTCAGTGATGTGGCTTGATTGGTCTTGCTTCTGATCTTTCTTTTAAATATTATATATCTTCTCTCGTTTTTTTTTTTTTAAATGTCATATGGCCTCCTTAATTTTAATGATGAACAGTGGTAGGTCTTGGATAGAAATTCACATGCATTCTAATCATAAATCCTCTTCTGGACACATTCCAAGGAAAAAGTCTGCATTCAAAAATGATGTTTCCATACTGGAATGTAAAGATATCAAAACCAAAGAGGACAACAGGGATATTTTGTTGTCATTGTAATAATTTCCTCACAATACCTGCCAAATATTATTATCTGAAGAAAAAATTCCTTTAGTACAGGAAAAACCCATGAAGCATTTTTATAGAACAAGTGGATATTGTGGCTTGTTTTCTGAGCACAAGTGTTTGGAATTAAGGATCCCCAGTTTGTGATGTAATCCCTCTGAGGTGGCATCTCACACATCGACATAGTGAAACATTTATATATTTTCATTATCCGAACCCAGACTTTTCCAACTGTGCTTTTAAAGAAGTTCTTTCCAAACCTTGAGGTGGCTGGCCTTGGTCATCCAAGGTTTATATACAAAGCTCTGGTCAAAATACAAGTACATCTCTTTCTTAGAACAGTTTTCTTTAACCCATAGCTCATCCAGAAACCTTCTCAAAAATATTGGGTAAAGATGGGGTCCTCAGAATTACCTAGGGAGAAAACAGGCAAAGTATTTTAATACTCAGTATTCTACATTAATACAATACATTTATCCAAACCATCTTGTCATTGATATTGGCATTAATTTTAAAATGACTGTCAAAGTATATTAGTATGACTTCAAGCTGTTATTTACTGTCATGTTAGCATGCATGTAACTGGAAACAATTATGCATTTCTGACCATGACAGAGGTTGTGTTGTCATTCTGAGCTGCCTGACTACAGCCCCCCACCCTTAATGGGAAGCCTGCAAATAGCAACAACCTTCTCTATCTTTAGATATCTACCTGCTAATGGCAAACAAAGTGCAGAGGAGCTCCACTGACTCAGGGCTGTACTGGCATACCTTGTATTTTTAATGTCTGCCCCTTGACAGAAGAAACAAATTACAGCCCATACTAAGACTGGAGCAGCAGACAGTGTGGGAGCTGGGCTGGCATCAGCACAATCTGAGGTGGAACAGCTGGTGACCATCTGAGTGGAGCTCATAAACCTACACAATTACATTGTGAACCAGAGGCCTTCAGGCACAATGCACTATTGAAACTACCTGAGATCCCACTTAATGTGCAGTAAAACTTGTGTCTAGCACCCATTTATTAAGCATTTATCGAAAACTGGTCAAAATATAAGACTTGACATAGTTGTATGATCATGTACAGTATGTATATGAAAATGAAAAGAAACACCTTTCCTGGGTTTCTATGATTGAGGAATTCAATTTGAAAGAATCGTTGATGTGTATAAAATAAATATTGTAGGGGGACTGCAGCATGAATGGGAAGTAGGGATAATTTCAGGCACTAGATGGCAGAAAAGCAAAGGACAGGGAGAAATAACTTTCACGTTTTCTGTTAAACCAGTGTTCCTTAACCAGGTCCTTGGGGACCCCCAGACAGTCAACGGGGAGCAAAAATGCGAACTGTCTGGCAGGGAGCTGGGAGGGAGTAAAAACATGGAACATTTGGGGTTCCTTGAGGACTGGATTGGGAAACAGTGTGTTAAACAACAGGATGCTACTATGGTCAGCTCACAATTATTCCTTTTCTTACAGTTTCATTTATGTTCATTAACTGGCAAAACACAAGATAGGCCTGCATTTAAGCTATAGCTACTCATAACTAGTTGTTACAAAAATAAAGTCAGTCTGTGGTCATTAAGAAAAATAAGGCAGTCTAGCTTTCTGTTTTCAATGTTGCAAATTACTTTTGCAAAGTAATTTGCAAATTAATTTTAAAACATGTATTAAAATATAAGATAATATCATACGGGCCGTGGGTTCAGTTCCTGTCAGGCCCCATGTGTACAAAGATCACATGACCCCCTATGGTTATGTGGGTATTCCCTGGGCGCATCCTCCCACAGTCTGAAAACATGCATTTGTTATGAGATGGTGTTTATAAATTAAGCATAGCGTGTGGGCGTGTGAGGGAGTGTGAGCTCTATGCCGCACTTGCATCCAGCGCAAGGTGTTCGCTGCTGTACTCTTTGGCAAAAACTCCAGGCTGACTGTGACCCTTAACTGTGTAGATGGTTATAGAATGGATGGATAATATCATATAATGGATTGTGCAGGTGTACATACATGTACACAACAGTTTTCTTTTGGAACTGCAAGAACAATTAATGAGTTCTGCATAGAAAAATATTCTATCCAGAATTTGTACATAAGTATAACTTCTTTTCAGGGTTCACGTTTGAAAAGATTTATTCTGTTTTTAATTTTGCAGAGAATTACCTGAAGGATTTTTGTCTTTCTATTTGGAATCCATAAGTTTTATTGTGGGGTGGCATGGTGGCGCAGTGCTTAACATGACTGCATCATACCTATAGCACCAGAGTTTGAGTCTCTGGCATGGCTGTGTGTGTGTATGGAGTTTGCATGTTTTTCCAATGTCGTTGGGAGGTTTCCTCTGGCTACTGAGGTTATGTGCAGTTGCCCGTAGGTGTGAATGGTGTGTGAGTGTGTGTGAGTGTGCCCTGAGACAGGTTGGCACCCCATCCTGGCTTGTACCCTGCCTTGTGCCTATAGTCAGAGATGGACATTTCAGGTCCAGAAAGTAAAAATCCAAACCAGGATTTTGTTTCAACCAACCAGTTGAGTACTTTGTCTGTCTGTCACTCATTATACTCAACTGGTTGGTTGAAACAAAATCCTGGTTTGGATTTTTACTTTCTGAACCTGAAATGTCCACCTCTGCCTATAGTCTCTTGGATAGGCTTGGGACCCCCTGTGAACCTGAATAGGACAAGCAGTTTCAGAAAAATGGATAGATGGAAGTTTTATTGACAGGGTTACTCAGAGCAGTATGGTTGCCAAGGGTTGAATCTTGCCTACAATCTGTGTGTGTGGAGTTTGCATGTTCTCCCCATACACCCCAACCTTGTGCCCTGTGCTGTCTGAGTCCAGGGCAACCTGGACCAAGATAAGGGGCTAGACGATGAATGGCAGCTTTACAGCATATTGTACCTTAACAATGCATGTATAGAACATTCATAAGCAGCATGTAAGTATACCTTAACATCCTACCATACAGTATCTTAAGAGCTTTAATACACTTTAATAAAAAAACATTACAAGATTATACAATCATAATGCTTGTTAGTATCATATAATATTTGTTATAAAAGTATATTAAAGCTGTTAAGGTATGTTTGGATGTAAATATATACTTACACGCTACTTATGAATGCACTGTAAATGCAACATGAAGGTGCACTGAATGTTCTAGGAATGCATAATGAATGCATTGGGAAGGTACAGTTAATGTAAAGTGTTACTTACTGAATAATAATCATAATAATAAATAATAATAATAATAATAATAATAATAATAATAATAATAACAATAATAATAATAATAATAATAATAATAATACTGTCTGTTTGCATTACCACATGGTCTTCCAGACCAGTTCCCTTTTCTCCTCTATGTCAATAAGGTCGGCCTCTTCAGTGATCCTGTAACGCCCAAAGAGCAGATTTCCACTTTTGTTCACATTTCTTGATTGAAACATTTTTTTTTTTTTAAGTTATTATTTAACATTCCGATAGGACCTAATTAAATACGGGGTATGCTGGTTATAAACCATCATCACAGGCAGCAACCTCCCGGGCCAGGACCTGAAAACAGCAGGATGTGGATCGAATCATGTTTTCGTCCTTTTTGTATATAGCAGACACACATATAAAGAGCAAAAAAATACTCCAGTACAGTCAATTCAGTGCAGGAGGTTTACAAAAGCATAACGAAATCTGTTGTGCAAATTTTGTGCTATTTAAAATATTGCACCAGTTAGAAGACATGTATAGTTGACACCTATGTCAGCCTATGTCCACAGCCTGTGAAACACAGCATATAACATAAGTAGCTTGATTATACACAGTAATCCATCCTAGGGGCACAGCAGTAGGTATGGTAGGAGTTTGGCTCAGTTGAAGCCTGCTGAGGAGGAGTGGGAGGCTTTGACTTAGGGCCATCTAACCATCTAAAGTTTCAGCACTTAACAGTCTATACGAGAACTGCAGCACTTTCATGTTTTAACACCCAAAAACTAGACTGAAAAAAATCTAATGTAGCCCTTGTTGCATTTTTTCCCTTTGATGTACACAGTATCACATCTCGATTTTTTACATCCTATTCTGCAGGTTTTAAAGGTTTTATACCCAGAGCTAATGATCTGTTTTAACAAAGCAGGAGTGGCTTAATTCCAACCATTCCCCTGAAAACTGCACACTTTAGATAGTAATAACAGTGTGGGCTCTTATAATGAGTATCATGACAGGAAGGTGCTCATGAAGCTGAATGTGCCCGACAGGACTTTCACCCAGAAATGACTGAAGCAATTCAGGTGACATACAACTACAGGTGCCCTCTGGAGACTTGAAGCACCAGTCTTAAGGCTGTGCGCCGATGTCCTTAACCACTATGCCACAAGTTAACAGAACAGTCTGTCTTCCTTGCCCATTTTGGAGAGAAACTGAAAGGTCGCATTTCTGTCTAAGAATGGAGTTTGGAGTGGCCCCGCATAATCTTTCAGGCAAATTGTGCAATCATTCCTACTGCTGCATTCAACTAGTTATTTTTTCAACAGGGTCACCCCTTGTACCTCTGCGACATCTGATTTCTATCCATTATTCTTCATTTAAACTAGGCTTCTGACTCTAGTCTATCTCTCTTTTATGAAATAATCCATCAGCTAAAAAACAAAAGTCGGCACGATATTCTGTTCTTTTCCTGCAAACCAGTGGACTGATCTCTCAGCAAGGGACCTTACTGGTTTGTAAGAGCTATACCCTGAACCTCTTATTTTGTGTTTGTCCGCTGTTATTATCTTAAGAAGGACAATTTGCAGGAGTAGCTGCAGCACAGCATTATGGGGATCTGTATAAACATACAGCCTTTATCTGGGTTTGCACACTGCACTCTTGATGCAATCTTACCAAGGCACAACTCAGAGCACTGAATGCACACAATGCATTGTGATTCAGAGCACAAAGTGCTGGGTGTTGGTCACACCGTTTAACGGCCAATCATGTGCTTTACAATCCAACCCCCACTATACACGGATCCCTGCTCAGCTAACAAAGGAAGCAAAATTGAAAGACAAAGGACCAGATTTACTAACGCTTTGCCCCAGAGTAAACCCTTATAATACTGCTGTTGGGATTTACTAAAGATGTACAGTGAAGAAAGGCGTTGACACAGTTAATTTTGCAATTGGCCATATTGCATATGCATTTGTAGGAGTTCCCTTTCAGGGGGAGGAGAATATTTAAAAGAATCACACAATGTGATTTACTATGGTTTGCAGTAGGCAATTCACTGCAAAATGCACCATTATTCAATCCCAAAAACATGTCTTATTTTGCACTGCCCTTGGTAGATTGGGTGGGTCATTATTTAAATCAACAGACTGCGTCTGTGTTTGTAAATTTGCGCATTTTAAGTAGATCACCCACAGAACTGGCCACTCCCATTGGCTGTTTTTTTTTACTGCGCCCTTATGCTAATTTGCCCTGCTTAGTGAATCTGAGGGCAAACGCATGTTGCAAATTCAAAGGCTGATGCTGTGAATATAACCTGCGCAAATCCCACTTCCATACTGCTAGCACATCATGGTACGTTCATAATGAAAAAATACGTATGTGTAGGGTGGGGGAGTAATTCTAATTGGGTAAAAGCTGCCAGTGCAAATGCTGAACATTTCCACCAGTTTATTTCAATATGAGAACGCTGCCATGTCAACAATATAATGAGCCGATGTTAAAAACAAATGCAGAATGGCTTTTATTAGATTTTGTTCCATTTAGCGTCTGTCACTTGGCTGAAGCAGAGCTAATGAGTATAGGAGAGAGTTGTATAATGCTTTTAATGGCATCTGCGTATATTGTGCAAAGTGAACCCAAAGAGGATCTGAATCCATGGCTGACATGGAGTGCTCCCCAATCAGATATATTACAGATATGAGTGCCCAGTAGGCTGACTATCCCACCTCTCACTCTCGCACCTCTCACCGTCTTTTACTATTTTTGCTGCGAAGAAACCTCATAATATGAATCTGTTGATTCTGAACATGACTTTTCCCCATGCATTATAGATTAGTTCAGTGCCTGTATTCTGGCATTGAGGGCAGATATGGGTAACACCAGCCATAAATAACCAACATATTCATGGATACTCATTCGAAGGTGAATGTTAACAGCCAGGACAAGCAGACCTTACATGCATTTGGTCTCAAGGGTGTTTGGCTTTCTGTAACGGGTTTTTTAATAAGGTGATCTTTTAAGATACACAAACTCAAAATCTTTCCATTAACTGATACTATGAATACTGTATCTGTTTTGATGCAATTTATCTATGTGTAAGTCTTTTTATTTTTATATTTCAGAGATTCTGTCCATTTTATGGTGCAATTATATTAAATATGACCAGGTGCAAAAAAACAAACATATTAGGAGTCAATAATTATAAAAATACTAGATTACTCACCCACGGCCAGCCACGCTTAATTTGCCGTTATTTCCCTCTTTCATGAGTTAGAATACCTCTGGGAGTTTCTGATCACTTTGTCTCTTCTGTTGTGTGTTGATGCCTGGATCATCACTAATGAGGGTTCCATTGATTCCAAACCTGGTTAGCTAGATTAGAAGAGGAAACCACAAAATCAAACAGAGGAATAAATAGTAAACATTCATCAAGTTGACTTTGCCAAGATGCAATGAATGGAGTGCAGTTCCATTTAGTAGAGGAGCACAGGGTGATACCATTTTTATGCATTCTGAGCTTGTAATTCTTAAGTTCAAGGCATTATTTGTCTTTTTCCCCCATGTATCCCTGATCTAAATTATCCCAGACAGCGAGATTGCCTTTTAAAACTTGCATAACTGAACTTGTGATGTACTGTAGTTAAGACCACCTAAGCCAAAACTAAGTCATTACCAAGACCAGAGTGTATTGAGATCGAGACAAGACTAGGATCAAGGCAGGGAGAGATCAAGACCAGACCAAGACAAAGGCAGAGCTAGACCAAGTCAAGATCATAAAGAGATTAATGTTTGGACATAATACACAACACACTATACAGTGGTACCTCAGTTCTCAAACTCATTAAAACTCGAATTTCTTAAAAGTTGAACCAACCAGTTAGAAAAAAAAAACAAATTACCTAGAGCTCGATCTGAATCTCAGAATTCAAACTGTGAACGCCGACCTAAGAACTTGTAAGCGCAGGGAAATGAGTCACGCAGCAAGTCTCTCAGCGGAAACAACGGGTAACACTTCAGTCTCTGTCTCGCATTCGCTGTGATAGCATCATGCATGTTTACACTAGCTGAATATATATACTTAGACAGTAAGAATACATTTAGACAATGATAGACAGTAACAGCAGTAATTATATAATCAAATACATTTAAAAATATAGATTTCTTATTAATTATTTTAATATTAATAATAAACCATTAATACATTTAATTATAATAATATTGTCGTGCCGAGCTGGGACAGAACGGAGACAAAGGCGCAGAGGTCAGGATATCGGGTAATACGGGGTTTAATTACAGGTAAGACGGACAAACTGAAACGTGGACTAAATATAGAAGTCTAATGACAACAAGCAGAAACAGCTGATCACATGGGGATTCCACACACGGGGTTAACGAGGGGGTGCGGCACACGGAAGGAGCGGACGATCGGGGCAGGGCCCATTGTTTTTTTAACTTTACACATTGTTTGGATACATTTATTTTCATACTTTACAAATTGCTGTTTTGATAAATGTGCTTAAATGTGTTTAGTACAGTATATGCTCTTCTTGTTTCGGTTCATTTTGTGTTCAAATGCTAAATAAAAACATATTTAGATATAATTTTTTGGGACCGGGAACCAATTAATTGGTTTTCCATTATGTCTTATGGGGAAAATTTGATCAGAACTCGAACTTTTTAGGATTCGATCCGGAGTTCTGAACGGATTAAGTTCGAGTTCTGAGGTACCACTGTATAATGTGGAGCATGGGCACCATTTTGGGGCTAGGCACATGGCCTAAAATTTGTGTCACAGTATAATTTAAAATCTTACATCATAAGTCACATCCTATTGGTTGCATTTGAACTTTGAAGCAGGACATTTTACACCCAATCACAGCACTGTGATAACCCTTTGAACCCTATCCAGTCAGCCACATATGCTTTATGAGTTTATTTTCAGGACATTCTGGGCTACTCAGATATGTCATAACTTGATGTGTACATGCTGACACAGTCTTGATATCATTCTTAGGAGGAAAAACCACTAGTGCCTATTGAAATTTCTCAACTTTTAGTCTCATCCAGGGTTCGAATTACGGGGGAGCTAAGGGGAGCTTGGCTCCCCTGAAAAGGACCTGGGCTCCCCTGAAAGCCTACTTTGAGACATTTAGGGGGAGCTCTAAAACACTTTCCATTTTTTGTGTCGCATATAGATTTTGATTTTCTGTACATTAAGGTTCCTGAAATAAATGATGATATTAAAAATGTGTCAATGTTGTGTGTTTATTCGCTCATTACATTACTATTTCCGAACACTATTTTCCGCTGTCTCCTGCTGTGACCATCCATGCGTGGCGGCGCTGCACTGAAATTACCGTATTATTCGGACCATAAGACGCACTTTTTTTCCCCCAGAGGTGGGGGGAAAAAGTCCCTGCGTCTTATGGTCCGAATATTGCTCTGCTCACGTGCTTTAACCTTCTGGGTTCGAGTGCATTGTACAGCGTACTTTTCGCGTCTATTTCAGTTTATATCTCACTGAAATCTTAATGTAGAATAATGAAAAAACGCTTGCTTCTGTCTTTTCAAAATTACGTTAAATAAAAAAAAAAAAGAAAAAAATCAAACCATGTCACCTTACTTTGTTGAGCTGTTTGCCCTAATACTGACAACACTGACTGACGCTTGCGTTTTGAAGTAAACGGTTTACTAAGTAAACAATAGGTTTACTGTAAACCTATTGTTTTAAATGCCCGAACATGCACCAAAAGCGTTAAAGTCAGTCAGGGAGGATCGGTAAATACGGCTCCCCCGAAAGCCACTTTGTAATTCGAACCCTGGTCTCATCTAATATAAAAATCTGCCTGCACTACAAATATAATCCTATTAATGTTGAGACTAGAGTCTGCATGATGTGGGAATGCAGGGGTTTCATTGAGAACCTTTCTATGTCTTAGTATTATGAAGGAATACATAGTTAGTGCCAGATGGAAACAAATATCATTAATTTTTCATCCATTTGGTAACTTGTTATCTGATAGACAGCAATGCATGGTTTTACATTTTCATATCTTCAATTTATTTCTTTATAACTGAAAGAAATTGAAATAGAAAAGCATTGTTTAGTTTATGATCCATTGCATAAACAGACATAACAGACGGTTTTAGAGTCTAATGCTGAATGTTTATCGCTATCGATTTTTCACCTTATACGCTATGATTGGTAAAGTGAAATTTGAAAAGGAAACTTTTAGTCAGCATTTTAGCCTCAAACAAACCAGTGCTGTTCCACAGCATTGTGTTTACATGTAGGAGGTGTTCCAGTTACACGATGGGAATGCTCTATTTCAACGATTTGGATGAAGCTCAACAAACATATAAATACAAACATTTGTAAATAAATAATGCAAAAATATCATTTAATTGTCTTCCCAATAAATAGAATACAGAATACAGTAAAATCCCGTTATCTATAACGGACGAGGTCCACTGGTCCCGGTCGTGCGCCTTTAAGAACATGCAGAAAAAGCATCGGATATAGCGGACTCGCATATAACGGAATTTCGCTTATAACGGACAGACAATTTGGTGCCCAGGGCCGCTTTTAGCTGTAGTTTTGTTCGGCTGTAACGGACATGCCGGTGATATCCAGCACAGATACCTAGTCGGGATTATTAATAGTCACGCATCTGGTCAGGTAAAGTTGGATTACTACATGTACAATATAATTGTCACGCCCAGCTCCGTCCGATCCTAATGTGTGCCACGCCCACCTCGTTACCTCCTGTTTCTACCTGATTGTTCTCACCTGTTGCTCGTTACCCTTAGCTTGTCTTGTGTATTTAGTCCTCGTCTGAGTCAGTCTTCCCCAGACTTGTCGTTGACATTTGTAGCGTAGTATTAGTCTGTCTGTGAATGTCTGCCCAGTTTACCGCTATTAGAACCCCGTTTGCCCGTCTGACCGGCTCTGCTCGCTTTTTTGCCTGTCCGCCGACGACGTGACCTGACAACAATAATCTATACCAGAAGTGTATCTGCTGAGGTGTGGCATGAGTAAATGGTGTCCTGTAGTTGTGTTCTGGGCATACAGCAACTCTGGATATAATGGACTTTGGATATAATGGACTGTTCTGCCAGGTTCCTTGAAGTCCGTTCTAACTGGATTTTACTGTACTATGTTTTGTTGTTTTTTGTAGTAGAACTCCAGCCCATTTTTAGTCTTTTTCTATCTCTTTATTTATGGGTTTATAATAGACAAATTATAAAATTAATATTTTTTTCCTAGAAGGATCATCACTGAGAACCTTTCTATGTCTTACTATTATGAAGGAATACATATCACGGAAGTGGATATGTGTTTGTTTTGTTTTTGTCTAATATGAATAATATCGAAGTTTTATGGATTATGAGGGGTGGGTTTCATGGAAAATGTTTAAAATATATGCCTCGTTGCACACAGGATTACTCTGGAATATTTAATCATACAATATTGCAACTTAGATGAACAGATCGAGTAAGTTCTCTTTGCTGCTCTTTTTTAACACGGTGGTTAGAAATCTTGGTCTTCTAGTTGATTCAGATGTATGTTTTGATGCTCACATAAGTATTACTAGAACTGCGTTTTATCATCTACGGAACATAGCCAAGCTTCGTAAGATGCTCTCACTTCGTGATGCAGAAAAATTAATACATGCCTTTGTAACTTCCAGACTGGACTACTGTAATGCCCTCCTGTCTGGTTGCCAGTCTAGATCCTTACATAAACTTCAGCTGGTACAGAATGCAGCAGCCAGAGTTCTCACAAACACTAAAAAAATTTGATCACATTACACCAGTCTTATCCTCCCTTCATTGGTTACCAGTTAAGTCTATAAAACTATAAAATACTGCTATTAACTTACTATAAAACTATAAAATACTGCTATTAATAAAGCACTGAACGGCCTTGCACCAGAATACCTTAGTGATCTGCTGACCTCATACCACCCCCCGCACTTGCTTCGTTCTCAAGGCGCGGGATATCTGTTAGTACCTAGGGTAGAAAGAGCTACAGCAAGCTGCAGAGCTTTCTCCTATAGAGCTCCTCAGCTGTGGAATGGTCTTCCACCGGATGTGTGGGTTTCAGGCTCACTCTCAATATTCAAGTCTAGACTAAAAACACACCTGTTTAGTTTAGCTTATAGGGACACTAGTTCTAGCTCTAGCTAATTTCTCACTCCCAGTTAGACCTATAGTGTGAGGTGTAGAGCTGGGTGGGGATCGGTGCTATTGGCTTTGGATAAATTAAATTGACAGTGCTGTCACTCTAGCTTCACAATCGCTTGTGGGATTGGAGTGCTGACATTTCAGGGACTCCCCATGCCTGCATTCCCACCTGCCTCTCCCTCCTACTTATGCTGCCATAGTCATATCTGCCGGAGCATTGCACTTCATATTGCACTCATCTAACTTTTAGCACTGCCTATAGTCTCCCCTACTTTGACTAATTGCATATTTTATTTCCCCTACTCCTCCTAGGGGGTGCTGCCTGGAGCCCTCAATCTATCAAGATGTCCAGCACACCCTGCTACATGTGATGTCGCTTCTACCAATGACGTCCGTGCATCCAGCTCACCATTCTGCCTGTGTCATCTCCCATGTATGACCCGCTGCCTGCCTTCTGGTTGCCTGACGATTGGAGGGAGCATTGGCACCGGCTTGCCATCTCCCCCCTGCTCCCCGTTTGTGTCTCAAAATTTACTGTATCTGACTCTCCCTGCCGGCCCCTGGAGGATGGGCTCCCCCTTTGAGTCTGGTCCCTCCCAAGGTTTCTTCCTTCTAGGGAGTTTTTCCTTGCCACTGTCGCCTATGGCTTACTCACTGGGGGCTTTGGGTGGGGATGCTGTAAAGTGCTTTGAGACGATGTAATGTTGTGATAATGCACTATACAAAAATAAATTTGTTTGTTGTTGTTGTTGATTGCAAAGAGATGGCACTCATGCCAGTGAGTTATACTTATCCAGAGTTTCAAGCCTGAGATTAATGGGTGCGAAAGTCAACAAATCTTGCATTTGTCAGGTTCTAAGGGTTAACAAACAGATGAATATTAAGCCGTTGTGATAAACGCTAAGGGTGGCATGGTGGTGCAGTGTGTAGCACTGCTCCCTCACAGTAAAAAGGGCCTGGGTTTGGTCCCGGGTCCTTTCTGTGTGAAGTGTGCATGGATTTCAACAGGGGCTCTGGTTTTCTCCCATGGTCCAAAAGCATGTAGGATAGGTTGATTGGTGAGTCTAAATTGGCCCTGTAGTTATGTCAGTGTGTGTGCCCTTTGGTGTGTTGCCGACTGCCCAGGGTTGGTTCCTGTCTGTGCCCATTGTTCCTGGGATAGGCTCCAGTCCCCCCCACGATCCCCGGTGGGGATTAAGTGGTTTCAGAAAATGGATGGATGGGTAAATACTGAGGCATTTTTATGAGTGGTCTTGACTGGGACAAGTCAAGGGACTTGACTGGGACATGTTCGAGACTGAGACAAGACCAAGTCAAAATAAAGTCGATTCCAAGACCTACACCGCAAAAAAAGTACTTACTTTTGCATGTTAAAATCCATGCCATAAAATTGATACATCCATAAATGAGAGATTGCAGTGATAAATATATACTATTCTTATGTCAAAGTAACTTACACAAATAAAGGAAAACGTCAATAAAGAGAGCACATGACCAGTACAAGCATGCTGAACATCTTAATGTGTCCCAGTGGAGATTCTACATGTGTCTGGAACTCAGCACAACAGAATCTACTGCAGGTGTTAAATTGGGTTCATATCCGGCGCCTGGGCCATCAGAGGCTTATAGTATAGATCATTTTTGTGTTGCCGAAAAAATTTGGTGACCACTTGGTGGTCATCTCTGTAGACTATGTCTCCACCATGGCAAAAACGCTTTTGCGTAGGATCAACACTCAGTGAATAAACAGAAGAATGGAATAACATCGTAGTCTAAGACAAAATGCTAATGGTTAATTAATATACTCGTATATTATACTGATTATGCTGTTACTTCTTATGCATGAATGTACTGTGTAAGTAAATTGTTTTTACAGGACAGAAAAGGAAACAAGTACATGCTATACTCACTCTTGTAGTCAGAACATTTTCTTTTAAATGAAATATACATTGCAGATGCGTCATGGGTTTTTCCAGTACAAATATTTGATCTGTTCTCCACGACCACTCCAGAAATCCTGAAATGACATAGTAAACTTTGCCATTAGATACATTTCCAAGCTCTTCAGAAACTAGAGCAGATCCACAGAGGACATTTACATTTATTTAGCTGAGGCTTTGACTCAAAGTGACATACGAGTGAGAAATGCTGGGAGTGAAGGAATATTCAGCGCCCCTGGAGTACTTGGGGTTAAGGGCCTAACAGTCACATAATTAATCTGTCAGCTGAGGGATTTGAACCCACAACCTTGCGGACATGAGAACAAAGTTAGACTTAACCCCTCATGCATGACCATTTGGCTTCTTGTATATCATTAAAATGTTTTGTATTTTTCTACATGTAAATGTACTACATCCATCCATCTATCATCAAATTTCTTCCTTCTTGGGAGTCTCAGGCATATCTCAGACAGGATTTGGGCGATTTAGAGATTGGCCAATTAACCTAACAGCATGCCTTTGGACTGCAGGGTGAAAACCACATGGTAAAAGGTGAGATTCAGACCCCCAGCTCTAGTGGTGTAATGTCTGATGTCATAATTGTTACTCTACTGAGCATAGTAATGTAGTAATGGCCTGTCTTTAATATTATTTTAAATAGGAAACTATATGACAAAAAAAAATTTGTAGCAACATATTGTAAGAAATGAATACAATGACTAGAGTTACTACTAAACAAACGTAGAAGCACCTTTGTCTATTGTGTTATGGTACAGTTAAATGTCACGCTTCTGGATCCATTCCCATGTGTTTAACTTACGGTTCACTCAGCAGCTCAGAAGAAGGATGTGAACTTCTTGCCAAAAGCAGACACGGCTGATGGAAAGGCAGGAAAACAAAGAGTCAGTGTGGCAGTAGACATTGTTTGTCAGGTCTCTTGTTTTTTTGTTCTAATGGAAATGATATGATGTATTTCTGTGTTTTTAACTCAAAAAATCCACTGTCAGTCATGAAAAGCTGACTGCATTTTCTCTTTAAAATAGCCGTATCATACAAAACAATGACTAATAAGTGCTGCGATCCGTAATGGCTTAAGCTTCAGGAGGCCTTCTACCTTCTCCCAGTTTGCCCGCTTGTTCGGCAGCTCCTCCCGGCAGGATTTTGGACAGGACGCTCTCTCCGTCGGTGGTCGCCTGCCCCGCTGCAGCGCTTCCTATTCCTCCAGTCCTAGGGGCAGCTTTAGAACCTGTGCGGAGATGTAACATGGTTTGAATTTCAAATGGGACAACTCTCACTTCACCCTTTGGTTTCCTCTGTAAACGTTTTTGCGGATGTGACTTTTTTGGTGCATTAGATGAATAGTGGTAACATTAACAGTAACGACTCAGAGGCAATTCTCGGGACTCGGCGGGCCCTAGGCACAAAAACTCCATGGGCCCCCCCAACTCACCATCCCCCGGCACAGGAAAATTTATTACCGTTATTTTAGTGTGAAGGCTAAATTAATAATATCCACAAAGAGAATTTAATAAACACAAGTCTTTTATATTCATTTTTGTGAAAAACAGAATACAAAAATAATGCAGATTTGTCTTTGCATTGTATTATGTACTCAACAGCCCCAGGGGCCTCAGCTCGGGGCACGAGGCCATTGTCTGCCTTGTCTGTCTGCGCCCCAGTAATAACTATGTAACACAAAGGAATGTGTACTCCTTCACAGCTCTCTTGTTCTCACCTATTCCAGTCAATGGTTGCTGAGGTGGTTTTGCAGGTTGTGCAGACATCGGCTTGGAGCCTATACCAGACACGGGCGCTGTTTCTGTCTTAGCCTGGAAAGATAAAGGTGAGGCCACACTGGCTTTCAGTTCGGTACGTAACCTGCTCAGGGAAATCTAAAAATCAACATATGCTACCTGCTGTTCTGTGGAGCTTCTGTATTTGTTAAAGTAAATAATATTGGAAAATATGTTTAACTGATATTTAATATTTGGAACATCACAGGAAATCCACAAATTAAAAAGTACTTCAAATGTTACTTAATAGAGGCCCTGTGTCAAATGAAATGGTGATTTTGCATAAAGTGATGCAATTAACTGCACAGAGCATCTTTACACTGGATCATTCAGCTGCATAAAGGATCCAAATGGTGAATGAAAGAAGCTGATTGCAAAAGAAAAAGAAAAATAATGATTCAAACAGATGGCATTCACATAAACTCAAAAAATAAAGTCACTATCTGGAGAGAAGCCGAAGCTTTAGTATAATGCATTTCTTTTAACATTGCTTTGATGAGAAGTCAGTTATGGGAATGTGTGCTAATATAATTTTTCTTTTTGGTATTAGTCCCCATCCATCCACCTCTTCATACCTACTTTGTTCAAAAATCTGAATTCGTCCTGTTTAAAGTTCCATTACATCAATCTCAGTGATATTTCAACATGGTTTAGAAAACGTCTAAAAAGACTCAAATGGACAAAACATTTTGGAAACACAGTTGTGTATTTCTTGAAAATACCGGGATATTGAAAATATCCCGGAAGCTTCGGGCATGAGACGGGGCACAACCCAGGATGGGGGGCCAGCCCATCGCAGGCAGTAAATCACATATCTGCATACTATACTCAGCAAAAAAAGAAACGTCCCTTTTTCAGGACTGTGTATTTCAACAATAATGTTGTAAAAATCCAAATAACTTTACAG